TGAACGATAATAGACTATATAGGATCACATATTTGAATACTTAGTCCACAGTTGGAGGAACTGTTTGGGAAGGATTAGGAGCTGTGGACTTGTTGGAGATGTGTCACTAAGGAGTGGACTTTCAGGTTTTAAAAACCCAAGCCATTCCCAAGTGACTCTCTTGTCTCAACATGAAAACACTCAGCTACTGTTCCAGTACCGTGTCTTCCTGCCTGCTGCCATGCTCCCTGCCGTGGTGAGAATGGACTAAGCCTCTGAAACTGTAAGCAAACCCCCAATTAAATGTTTTTTATAAGCTTCCTTGGTTATGGTGCCTCTTCACAGCAATAGGAAAGTAATTACGACAGCAGCAGTTAGGTCTTTCCCAGTGAAAAGCATGCCAATTTGTTATCCAATACCAAATGGTCAGCCCTGAAAACATAACATACCAGTAACATTATATTATATTGAGCTGGTTGTATTATATACTAAGGAACACATACATATACACACTAATGTGAATAACTTACACAAAAATGTTCAAGGTGTTATACCCTTGTTTTCTATATTTCTCTTTTATGACTAGTATTCATAATACCAAGAATCAGCAAGTCTTAGCTTACAAATTGGCACCAGTCATAAGGCAAGTATGTAGACTGATACTAAATATATTTCTGTGACCTACAAAATTTGTAAAGAATGCAGGAAAGGAAGAATTGATGTTTCTTAAATTTTTGCAATATATCCAGCATTTTCAATTTTTATATGCTAGTTTTTGGGTGAGCTATTGTGACATGGGAATGGCGCAAGAGAGTACGACTCTAAAGACATGGAGTGTGAATTCAATTCCCTACTCCTAGTCCTGGCAGCATGTTCCTTAACTCATACAATTCTTCGTTTTAATTCTTTATTAACATCAGTGGTGTCACCTGTTTTGATAACACAAATAGACAACACGTGTAAAATACTTAAGTTTGGTGTCCTTAGTGCCTAAAATCCTCTACCTGGCACATTCATAGATCATGCTTTTATTTTTTATTTTTAATTGTGTTTGTATGTGTGGACGTGTATAGGGGGTTATTTGCACGTTAAGTGTAGTTGCTCATGGAGAACAAAAGTATTGTCTCTCCTTAAAGCTGGAGTTATATGCAGTTGTAAGCTGCCCCATGGAGATGTTGGCAACCAAACCTGGGACCTCTGTGAGGAGCAGTGCTCTGTCTTAACTGCTGAGCCATAACCCCAGACCCATCCACAGGTAATGTTAATTGGGCATTTCCTGTGTCCTAAGGAGGTACGATATTTTTTTAAATTTTATTTTATGTGTATGAGTGTTTTGCTGTTTGAATATATGAGTACTGCATGCCTACCTGGTACCCATGGAGGCAAGAAGACACTGTTGGATCCCTTGGAATTGGAGAGGCAGATGGCTGTGAGCCACCATGAGAGTGCTGGAAATGGAACCCAGGTCATCTGCAAAAGTGGCAAGTGCTCTTAACTGCTGAGCCACCTCTGTAGCCTCATGTAAGTGCTTTGTATTTACTCAGTCATTCTTTCCCCATAACTCTGCAAAGAAGCTACTTTTATTATGCCTGTTGTACAGGTGAGGTATGGTAAAGGTAAGGAAAGTGAACAAAGATCCCACAACTAGAAGGGCAAAGTAGTTAGAATATGAATCCTGAGAGTCTGGCTCCAGAGTTATGCTCTTAATTAGGTGGTTAAGTGAATGGGGGTGGGGGAGAACACGACAACCTGCTTAGTCTGTTTAGTGCTGGACAAAAATGCAATTAGGTAAGAGGAATAAGTTCTCATATTCCATAGCACAGGATGGTGTCTGTAATTTATGACAATTTATTGTGGATTTTATAAATAACTAGAAAAGAGGAGTCTGAAGATATTAAATTGAAAATGGTAAATCTTTAAGGAGGTAGAGATGTCACACCAGGTGTTGGTGGTGCACGCCTTTAATCCCAGCACTCGGGAGGCAGAGGCAGGTAGATCTCTGTGAGTTTGAGACCAGCCTGGTCTATAAGAGCTAGTTCCAGGGCAGCCTCCAAAGCCACAGAGAAACCCTGTCTCTAAAAAAACAAAAGAAAAAGAAAAAGGAGGTAGAGATGTCAATTATTTGATTTTTATACACTTTTGTATACACATATTATTACTTTATTAATATATATAATTGTCATGTGTCAACTAAAACATAAGCCACTTTCTATATAGAAAGGCTCTTGGGCCATGGAGATGACTCAGGGGTTAAAGGAGCTTGCTGTTAAGCCAGATGACCTGAGTTTGATCGCTGGGACACATATGTTAGGAGAGAACTGACTCCCACTTGTCCTCTGGCTTCCAGATGAACACCTTGGCACATATGTCCACACATATACATAAACAAACAAACAAATGAATGAATAAATGTCATTTTAAAATTTGAAAAACAAAACTTCAAAATTTGTTTTCAAAAATGGCCCTGTTCCTATTTTGTGTTCATGTGTGTGCATGTAAATGTGTGTGTGTGTACATGCATGTGGAGATCAGAGGACAATGTTAGGTGTTGTTCCTCAGGTGTGGCTACTTATTTATGAGACAGGGTTTGCTATGTGACTTTTCCAAGCAGGCTAGGCTGGATTACCAGAGAGCCCCCTGTGTCTGTATGTCTCCTAACAGCACTGCAATTAGAATGTGTGCCATTTGCCTGGCTTTTCTCTTTTACTGTGAATTTTTAGGCTCAAACTCAGGTCGTCAAGTTTGCAAGATATTTGGGTTAAAAAGCAGACCACCAGAGACTTGGAGGAGAGAGGGGGGGTAGGAGGGAGGGATTGAGATTATGACAGGTTATATAAATCACCCAGAACACCTAAAGGGAATTAGCAATTCCCAAGTGGACTGACTCAAAGGTGGTGCATAGCAGGCAATGCTGACTGAAATCTATATAATCCTGGTACTTGGCAGGCAAGGGATAGAGGTAGATGCAAACACAGAGGTGGGAGGAGCTCAGAGAATGTAATGCCAACCTGGGTCACAGTGTGAGCCCACCCTCAACTACAGAGATTCAGTCTCAGCAAAACAAACGAACAAACAAGCAAGCAAACATAGCTCAGGTGCAGCTTGATTTAGTTTGCCAAAACATACCATTAATATCTCTGTACTGCATAAGGTTTTTCTGACATAATTAAAATGTATAGGTACCATTTTTGTATCCCCGCTATTATTGTCTAGTTAATGCAGTTCATTATTCTCAAGTCAACATATTCAAATACTATTTTCTCTCTTAAGTTTTAAATATATTTTAGATACCGGTTACTGACAAAGTTTAAATTACCAAGCAAAAATGCTAAGGTGTTTCATATATAAACACCTTATTTAAAATTTGAGAAATCTTCAATTTTTAGAAAAAGTATTGAGGTATTCAGTGGCAAAAATTGTCTCTTTACTGCTGTTACGATACTGCTCTATGGAAAAAACAAAATGAACTTTTAATGAAAAATGAATAATTGCGTGAAGGTAGCAAGTTAGCCCTAAAGCAGGCTTAAAGATGGACCCAATTTGATCTTTGTAGCTGAAGTCATATCCATTTTGTGAAGGATCATTTCTCTCTGAAAATCAGTGCATATGAAAAGCAAATGGCAAATAATACATAGATCGGTCTAAATTGCTAAGCTTGAAATTACTCTTGTAGAACTCAGATAAGCTATAAACAACTTTCACAAAGTCAACAGCCTATACTTGTTAGTGTAATAATCATACAAATAAGACATTTTAAAATCCTAATGTAAAAGTCATACGTAATTAATGTATAATTCAAATAATTTCTTACTTTAGACCATGAAAGATCAAGGAGATCAGCAGTATGTCCTTTATATTTACAAAATGGTCGTTGCCGAAACGGTGCATTTTTGTCATCTGGGTCTTCATCGGTTCCACTACATGCCTAATTAGACATAAAACAAACTTTAAAACTGAGATGTGATGCTATCAAAACAAGAACTTCAGACTTTTCCCAGCCACCTGTTCTCTCATGAATTTGTATGATGCCCAACTGAAATCTCAAGCCAGCCAAAGCAGAACCCCCAGACTAACTACTTACCACCTTTCTTTCTCTCCAGGCACTAACAAATCAGGACCACTTCTGAGTAATATACCCAGCTATTGTACTCTTCCCTCTCAAAAGGAGCCCTTTCTTAGCATCTGTTTCTTCAGGAGAAGTGAGGCCAGCTCAAGAGGTTGAGTCATGACTAGGCTAAACTAATTTAAGATTAGCTGACTCCATTTCCCAAGGATGACTAGTTTAGCCACAGGGTGTGTTCAACAGAGCTCACTTAAGAGACTTTCCACTTTTTTTGCCTTTGAACATTGTTGTTTCCATGTGATACTTAAGACAGTAGCCGCCTTTTTACGACCATAAGGCAGGGAAAGGCCCAAGATACAAGAGTAAAAAGCAAAAAGTTGGTGGGACTCTGTTCCTTGATGATACTACTGAGCTAACTAACCCTGAGGAACCTCACCTCTATACTCACTGCCTCATTATTTATTTAGGTTCCTGTTATTTGACAGAAGGATGTAGAAAATAATGCAATACATGCATGCCAAATTTAGCTGGTGCATGCTTTGTGTATTCATCATCTGAATGAAGCCTAGCAACTCTTTGGAATAGGTGTAACACTATGAATATGGAGACATTGAGAAAAGCTCTGTAGATCCAAATAATACATTAGAAGGTCACATAGCCACCTGTGAACAAGAGAATCAAGGCAGAATATAAATTATCCAACTTTTTTTGTTTCTTTCTTTTTGAGACAGAGTTTCTTTGTGTGGCCCTGGCTGTCCTGGAACTCGCTCTGTAGACCAGGCCCCAGTGCTGGCATTAAAGGTGTGTGCCACCACTGGCTGGCAGTTATCTAACTCTAAGTCCAGATTTATTTATCTCTCAACTGCTTCAGAGCATGTAGCATGAAAGAAAACATGGCAAGCCAGCTAAGCCTTTCATGTTTAGGAAGAGTCGCTAGGATGAGGATAAATACAAAATGTTCCCAGAACTGTGAAAAGATAGTAGGTTAGAAAGGTACTGTGAGACTACTCCATAAGGACCTCAAACTTGTAGCTCAAAAGTCTTGTTGTATAAGGCCATGGAGAACCAATATACAATTCTGAAAAGAAAAAGGCAACATGATCTGACTGGAACTTTAGGAAGAAAACTGAACAATGTCAAAGACTGTTTGGATGAAGAAAATGGAGGCTGAAGAACAATAATTTTAAGAATACATGTCTAGGAAGATCAGAGCTGGGTTTCACCTGAAAGCCTCCTCCCCGAGGACTAATTCTCATAGTTACCAAACTGCTATGCAAGCTGCCAAGGGAAGCAAGCAATCTGAGAAGCCTATGAATCACAACAATAAGTACTATGGGATATCCCTAAGACTGTAACAGTGGCATTCCTATCTTGGCAGTAACCAACAACTATAATTGGATTTAAGGCCTACTCAAAAGGAGGGAATTCATGCCTGGTACTAGAAACCTAGCTAACTACCTAGGTCTAGTGAGGTCATGGATCTTAGAAGAGAAACTATTACTGCCACTTTACTAAACCAGCATAATTTCTAATTGCATTCTAAATACTTATCCTTTTAGCCACAGGTAAGTGTAGCTCCCAGCCTTCACTGAGGAAGTGTCTATGAAACAGGCAGAGACCATTATAGCAAATCACAACAGGTCCAAATGCAGAGAAAAACTGATCATAGGGTGCATAGCTCCAGTAGCTATATCTACAACACAACTCCTACACCTAAAATTAGAGGACATTGAGGAAGAGGGAGCAGAAAGACTTTAAGAGCCAGAGGACCAGGATATCTGCTGTGAGATTGTATCTCCTAGAAATGACAGAGATGCTTCATCCATGATATCTCTATTTTATAGCTACCCAAACAAGACCTGAACAAAGACAACACGAAAAGACATGTAATGAGGAAGTGGGAAATGTCATGGGATCACATCACAGGGCAAACAATTATATGCAACTAATTGATTTTGAGAGAGGGAGAAATAGTCTTGTTCCCAGAGATGAGCCCCCAATTGCTTAATTACTGAATTCATGTACACATAAGCAACATTAACCATACTCAGTAGGTTATAGTAATATATTTACATGGTTTATGTGTGGAGAGAGAGAGAGAGAGAGAGAGAGAGAGAGAGAGAGAGAGAGAGAGAGAGAGAGAGAGAGAGAGAGAGAGAATAGCAATTAAAAAGAGTCTACGAATTTGAGAAGCAGTGTGTGGGGGTGGAAAAAAAAGGGAATTGGGGAAAATGATGTAATTACATTTTAATAACAAAATTATCAAAGTAATAAAATGTAGGGTAAAAATGACAGCTTGAACTAGGGCAGTAGCTATGGGGTAGAGAAATATCAATGAATATTATTTGTTTATTCTGGAGCTTGGTATTTGGTGCTAGGGATGGAATCCAAGGCCCCATGCATGTTAGACAAAGGCTCTTGATGCTGTACTATACCTCCAGCCTTATAGAGAACTTTAAAATTAGTTTGTAAGGACATCTTTACAGGAACCACACAGGCAGACCAGAACACTAAGCTCTGGGCTTTTTAACAATCACTGCTAGGTAACAACTTCTTCCCCAAATTTTACTTCCAGACTAGTGAGCCCCAATAAAGACATAACATTAATATTCTTGCCCTATTACATAAAAGCTAATTTCTTGCTTAATAATTATTAATTTTTCACTAACTCCTAAACACATTTCCTCCAGCAGTGATTCCAGGCCTCTTTATTTTTTTTAAAAAATGATGTTTTTTTATGTGTATGTTTTGCCTGCATGCATGCATATATATATATATATGCATATATATATACACGCATGCATGTTTGTGTGTATGTGTACACAAATGTATTACAAGTTTATGCCTTATATCTTGGAGATTAGAAGAGGGTATTAGATATCATGGCACTGGAGCTCAGGATGGTTGTGAGCCACCACGTTGGTGCAGAAAACTGAATCTAGGTCCTCTGCAAGGGCAACAAGTGTTCCTTCTTAACCATCCGACTGCTCCCGACCCACCATCATATCTTTTTTTAAATATGCATTTTCTTCTCCTTGACATTTTTGTGCTGGAGGTCTAATCCAGAGTCATTGCACTCTACCTCCAGTCCTCCAGTCTCTCAATATTTTTAGTCATTTTTTTATTGTTCTGGGTAGCCTTGGCTGTCTTGGAACTCACTCTGTAGACTAGGCTGGCCTTAAACTTCTATCTGCTTGCCTCTGCCTCCTTAGTGCTGGGATTAAAGGTTGTGCCACCACACAAGCTTTATTTGTAATTACCTTACATATGAGAAAAGTTTTCATGTTGTTGGAACTTTCTATTTGTGGTATCACACTGGTACGCAAAATGGTTTAGATTGCAGATTAGGTATGTGTTCAACTGCTTTTCTTGATTATTTCAAAATGTCTCCTTGGGCTGAAGCAATGTCTCAGAGGTTAAGTGTAAGAATTCAGGCATCTGTACTGGCCTGTCCTTAGGGTTCTGACAGGATACACCCTCAGCTGCAGCCACTAAGAGCAACACCTGTGCACATTCACTATGTTCCCTTTAAAAAGGGCCCTGCCCACCTTCTCTTTTTCTCTCTGTCCCTTTCTTTCTCTGCCCCCACCCCCCTCTGTTTTCTCTTCTGCTGCTCCTGTCCCCAGAGGCTGGCCTCCCTTTTCCTATTTTCCCATTCCTTTTCCACTAATTTAAAAAAAAAAAAACCTCCATGTGAGCTCTGGCACATGGCATCTTTTTCTCCTGCGCTGCTTTTTAAATTATTATTATTACAACATTAAGAGCACTGGCTGCTGTTCCAGAGGATCCAGGTTTGATTCTCAGCATCCACATATGCTTGCTAATGGTCTATACACATACTTCTGTTACTAATTCTCCCCCTTTTCACCTGGATCCAGATACCCAGACTTGGATGCTATTTCTTGAACACAGTAGACTTGCCTTGCAGCTGTACTTCCTTCTAGATATAAAGAGGATAACTTCTTTATCACCTTCCGACTTTGCACCAAAAAGCTTTGGGTGAAACTTTGCTTGCATCTTACTTACTTGCTTTATCTTTTTAATTTTCCTCTATGCAAAAGAATGAATTTGGAGAGCTGGGCAATGGTGGTGCATGCCTTTAATCCCAGTACTTTAGAGGCAGAAGCAGGTGGATCTCTGTGAGGTCAAGGCCAGCCTGGTCAACGGAGCAAGTTCTAGAACAGCCAGGGCTGTTACACAGAGAAACCCTGGCTCAAAACAAGCAAACAGAATGAATTTGGACTCTTATTTTATGCCATTAATAAAAATCAATTAAAATGGATTAAAGAATTGACTGTAAAGCCTACACAGTGAAAACTCCATGAAAAACAAGGAAAAATCTTCTAAGCATTGGTCTAGCAATGATTTATTAGTTATGCTACCAACAAAATCTGCAAAAGGAAAATGACACATGGGAGATTGCATTCACCCTCCTTTATTCTCAGTTTAACACTCTGAAGTTTCATTTACCAACCATCAAAAACTGTTACTTATTTTGACTTTTTGAAGAGAGAAACAGAACATTCATATCATTTTATTACAGCATATTACTATAACAGTTTTGTTTCATTATGCATTATTAAATCTTGCATATCAAAATTTATAAATTAAACTTTATCATAGGTCTACACGTAAAAGAAATGAAACATTGCATGTGTATGGTTTTGTTATACCCACAGTTTTTAGTATCCACTGAGAATTTTGGACTACATCTCCCCAAACAAGGAGAGACATCAAAGTCAAAAACTTTTTGCATGTAAAGTAATCATCCCACAGGCAGTGGTGGCTCACACCTTTGATCCCAGCACTTGGGAATCAGAGGCAGGTGGATCTCTGTGAGCTTTAGGCCACCCTGGACTACAAAATGAGTTCCAGGCCAGGCGTTGGTGGCGCACGCCTTTAATCCCAGCACTAGGGAGGCAGAGGCAGGGGGATCTTTGTGAGTTCGAGACCAGCCTGGTCTACAAGAGCTAGTTCCAGGACAACCTCCAAAGCCACAGAGAAACCCTGTCTCAAAAACAAACAAACAAACAACCCCCCCAAAAAAACCAAAACAAGTTCCAGGACAGCCATGGCTACAAATAGAAACTCTGTCTTGAAAACCATAAAAAAATAAAAGTAAACAATTAACCATATGAAATAGCAGCTACAGAAATGGAGGAAACTATTTGTCATCTACATATCTGATAAACTTTTATATGCAAATATATAAAGAACTCTACAACTGAACAGTAAAAAGCTAACTCACAATTAGAAATGGTCCAAAGGTCCAATGTGGCTCAGAGTTAGAGAGGTTGCCTAGCATGCAGAAAGCCCGAGTTCCACTCCCAACACACACGCAAAAAGAAAAAGAACAGAAAAACAACAAACGGAAAAAAAAAGTCAAAGGAACTGACAGGCATGCTCCAATAAAAACATACAAATGGTGAACAGGTATACACAAAGGCATTCAACATCACTAATCATCAGGGTGATTTAATTTGTACTACCGAAAGTAAAAAATATAACAATGTATTTCCCTACAGCTGTCACGATGGCTATCATAAAAAATACAGCTACAAACCCCACAATACACAGTGGTGACCTGCCTGCATGATATGATAGTGCACTAAAGTCACAAATGTAGTGGGAGTAACCAAGCTGATTGAGTCTCACCCAAATTAAAAACCACACTTAAGGGCAGGCCCCAGGCCCAGAAGTAGATAGCCAACACAAAATGAACTCAACGGTACTTTTGGAACTTTTTGTCTTGCATTGATTTGTTTAGGCCTTTATTTTTTAACTTACTGGTCTTTTGTTTGTATATTACAGTTTCTGGTTTTGTGTTTTTATGGGTTTAGTGTGTGTATATGTGTTTCTTGTGCTTTTTAAAATTCCTTTTTTAAAAAATTACCTTTTGTTTTCTAAAGAGAGAGAGAGAGAGAGAGATGGCATGGAGTTGGATGGGTGGGAAGGTAGGGAGTATCTGGGAGGAGATGAGGGAAGGGAAACTGTTAAAATAATGTATTATATGGAAAAATATCTTAATAGAAAAACACTGGTAAAGGCTGGCAAGAATTTGGAGAAAATGTAGCTTTATACACTGCTAGTAGGAATATTGACCAGTTCAGCCACCAGGAAAGGCAGTATGGAGATTCCCCAGAAAATTAAAAATAGAGCTCCTACGTGATCCAGTAATCCCATTTCCTGGTGTACATCCAAAGGAATTACAGTCGGGATCTAAAAGATTTGCACTATCATGTTCACTGCAGTGAAGACGTGTGAGTAAACCAAATATCCAATGACAGAGGAATAGGTAAAGTAAATGTGACTTATATACATCATAGAATGCTATTTATTCTAATAGGAAAATGCTGTCATTTATTATAACAAGAATGAGCTTAGAAGATAAGTAAAATAAGATAGATACAAAGGGCAGATACTATATCATACCACATAAATGATAAATGTAACATAACATAATTCCATTCACAAAAGCAGAATATGGGGGTTGCCAGGGATCAGCAGAAAGATAAACCAGATAGCATTACTCAAAGTGTATAAAGTTTCAGTTATACAAAATTATTAAGTACTGGAGAGCACAGAACAATGATTGAGTTAATAATACTGTAATACATACTTAAATTTTTATAAATTGATAGTTCAAAAGTTCTATCACAAAATTAATAAATAAGGGGAATGAAGAAACAACTGGAGTTGATGGGTAGATTTTTGGTATTCACTGTATTTATGTTTTCATGTTTGTACATTTATCTCCGAATTCATATATGTCAAGTATATATGTCTTTTTGTATGTCATAACTCAATAAAGCATCTTTAAAACTTTTTATTACATTACTATATTTGTGTATGTGTATGAGTACATGCAAGTCAGAGTATAACTCATTGGAGTTGCTTCTCTCTTTCTAGTATGTGGGTCCTGGGAATCCAACTCAGCTCATCAGGCTTAGTGGAAAGCACATTTACTTACTGAACCATTTTGATGGTCCTCAATAAAGTGTTGTATAAAATTATATCCTTAAATACAATCTTTATACCATAGCTTTGCTTTCTTTCTTTCTTTACTATTTCTCCAGTTTTTTAAGTAGTGATTAATATATGGTAGGAACTCAATAATAAATATTTTTGGACTGAATGAAGACAAGTCCCAGATATCAAGATGGCAACAAGGGTACATAATTCTTAAGTTACAGGTTACAGAGACACAGCTGGATACTAATTCTGATACTATATTTATCAACTGTGAAACTGTTAATTAACATTTTAAAGCTTTTTTCTTAATCTATAAATTAGTTATTAATAGCACTAAAGTATAGATTTATAAAAGGCTATATACACAAATTTTCAATTCCTTCTAGATTGTTAGCTCCCTTTATTCAAGTTCTAGTTTCTAATAATCTATTCCCCCTCTGAAAATTTCAGTGATTTGTTCCCCTTCAAAATTTTAAGCATCAGTTAAGTTTTATTAATACTTATCAACATTCCACCAATTAAGTATACTGAACAAAAATTTACCCAAGAAAAAAAACCTAAAATCTAGGTAAAAAGGTACCCTTACAACTTATAGCATTAAGAAGAAATTTTATACAGAATCGCCACATTACACTCTTATCCAACTATAGATTCTTAGAAACCGAGAAGGCTAAAAAGTCCATGTTAATGCCAAGTCTTTAAGCATTTAGACAAGAGGGCAAGCTAAGCATGCATACACACATCCCTTATACTTTCTAAGCTACTTTCGGGAATCAAGAGAAATACTGCTAGGGAGCAGGTGAGTGACCCTGGCTCATGACTGTCTGTTCCACTGTACAGAAGGTCCTTTTATACTTCGTTTCACATGCTGAGAAAACATGTAAAAGTACTTCAAAAGGGTTAAGACTCACTGCCATAAGCCAGACAAAATGCATGTGAAAATGATCTGCACTGTATCTAGAGTTTGGTTAAAAAGTAATTCCAGACACCAAACCCCAAAAGACATGAAACAGAGGCCTCTTTCAGCTGTTTTGAGAAGGAGTGACTAAAGTCAAAACAATATCAATGACCTTTTCCTGAAAATGATAGATTACTCAACTATTTCAGAAGAAAAAAATCAAATAGTATAAGAAAAATGACTAACTTTTCTATTAAAGAAGTTGAGTAGTTCTCATTTATAATGTCTTGTACTCCATTAACTTTGTAATTACACTTAGAGTTGGGGAAGGGAGGCTAGACAGAAGTAGTTATGAATCTATAAGCTGCTAAAAATATACAAGACAGCCTTATGCACTCTAGGCTGTCTTTCAAAAGCAATAAATACCTAGAAGCTTTATAGTAAATTAAACTAATAAATACAGAAACCCTTTTCCCCAAAGCAAAGCAGTTAAAATTGTCACTATGCATTAGTGAGTGAAGGCTTTAGAGAAAAAGTGGCCCATGAATAATGGACATAGTTTGAATGGAAAGAAGTGAGACTAGGAGCACTAAGATAAGGGAAAAACCTAGAATAAAAGTCCAGAAGCAGGATTTCAGTGCTGACTGTTCATCTACTACAGTTAGCATGGAGTAAGATGTCAAGGATTAGTCTAAAGCCTAAATAGAAAGAAGATATTGTAAGCAATATAAATGTAAAACTACATATGACATATTATTAAAACACACTGAGTAATAATTTTGCCTCCTGAATTTAGGGAAACTAATAAGAGGACATAAGATATTTGAGCTGAATTCAGACAGGGCATTCTGGACAAAGCAAACACATGGGAAAAGATATCGATGTGAAAGAGTATTTAGGACACAGACCAGCATGGAAAGTAGAACTAACAGACAACAGAGGATTAGAATTGAGTTAGAAAGGCAATATGACACAATAATAAAAAGTATCCTTTTCCTGGAGGCAATAAAGCAGAAGAATTTAACAATAAGTAAACTATAAAATTAGTATTTTAAAAATAGTAAACCTGGGTTGAGGGAAAGTGATCATGTTTTATTTAACTATGCATCAGTAGGTTGGTAACTTGAATAGTAATATTTAGCATTTGGCAATCTTAACCTTGATAATTTTTCACTTGGGAATACTAACAGAAGAAACACTTTTAATATTACATGTTAATTTTAATCAAACACCTTGGCAGAGTTTATTTATAATTGAAAATTATGTTAGGCATCAAATAAATCATAGAATTTAATAAAAGTAACTATAAAACTTGAACATACCCCTGTGTCTGTGTCAGATTTTGATGAACTTAGACTTTCCTGAGATGGTGACGGTGACACTCGGCCTAAAAACAAGATTAGTAATTTTTTAAAAAAGCATATATGTATATACACTAATCTACCAACAAAAATATTATGAAATAATAATAGTCATACAATATAGTATCCTGGAAAAACACATTTTCTAAATATGAACTATTATCACACAAGCACCCACATATCTGCCGGTATCATTTTGATCAATTTAAATAAAACAGCTTAACTAGTTCCCTAAATTAGTAAACAAAGTACCATTTAATTTTCATTATTCATAGTGAATACATTCTTACTAATTACAAAAAAGTAGCAACGGGAAACAACAAAAGGCCAAGAAAAGGTCTGGGCTGAGGTCAGGTTTCAAAGGCAACTGAAATACTGTTTTTGCCTCAGGTAGAAGAAGAAATGACCAGGTAGGAGACGAAATGCCCACTCACTCTAAAAGTAACCCGTTTCAACTTGTCAAATACATCAACATCTTCAATTATGTATTATGACATGCATTAAGAAATTCACAAAGGTTTTCTAGAGAATATAGGGTCCTCAGGACTGGTGGTACAGCCCCATTATCTCAGATACTCATGAGGCTGATGCAGAGAATATCTTAAGTTCAAGGCCAGACTGAGCTACAAAGAGAGTTCAAGGCCAGACTGAGCATCAAATTGACAAATTGTCACATGATAACTTCTTTTCTAAGTGGGAGGCAGACTGAAGTTGAGAATATAGCTTAATTATAGAGCTTAATGACAGATGCCTGGTATACTTGAGGACCTAGGTTCAGTTTCCAGTACCAAGAAATCCCCAAACAAAACAAAACACAGGGTCTCACTAGCTAGTTGAATAAATAAGAAACTTCTGTGTTCTTTAAATTGGCGATTCAATTGTACTCTATATTCTCACCAATGGTTTACTCCATTTTAATTTTTCCCATTTCTTAACTTCTTATTTTCAGCCTTAAATGATTGGGAAGAGGATGATTTGTGGATAAAATTTGTTACATTAAAAATTATAAGAACATTATCCATAAAATTAGAGTCCCTACTTAGTTAAATTCTTCATACTTTCTTAAATCATTACATAACAAGAATAATTTGTTTAGGTATAGTCATTGTTTACCATATAGTCATAGTATTCTGAGATTGGATTTTTGTCAGTTAAGTTTTTCAAATATCCATTGATTCCATATATCCACAAACCTAATTTATTTTTCATGACTATTTTCTTAACCTTTTTTAACTTAGTGAGTTTACATAGTATTATTATTATTCCAGTTTAATTCAATATTTCATTTTAATTCAGGATACAACTGAAGGCTACCAGGGAAACCAAGTAATTTCTAGGTGGTTGATAAAATTACATATTATACTTGAAAAAGTATAAATCAAAAGCTTTGTGATATTCTTTTCATTAAGTCTAGAGATTTTTGCTATTGCTGTTTGCTTCATTTTTATTTAATTTTTTAAACAGTCTTGCTATATAAGCCAGGTTAGCCTTGAATTCTTGACCCTCTTGCCTCAGCCCTCCAAAGAGTCAAGATTATTATAGGTGCACAACACCAAACCATATAAATGCTACCTATTATGATAAGTAGTGGTTACTACAAATGACAGTCAGATAAAGAGAGCAATACAGTTGGATATTCCTTATTAGATTTTGGAGCTTGTTGGATTTTATAAATAATTGCATGGTCTTTATAAGTTTAGTGTCCCTAGTCTGAAAAGAATAAAACCTGAAATTCTCTAAAATTAGAAAACTTTGAGCATTTTCTCAACATTTAATGAGTTTCAGATTACAAAGCATTTTGAATTTGTGAACTGAGGATGCTCAACATATAATGTGCCTAAAACGCAAAAATTCCAGATTTATTTAGATATTTAAAGAAATGAAAAATACCTTCAGTATTGTATTTCATTCGCATATTGTTGAAATAGTCAAAAGCATTTTTTAAAGCCCATATCCTCACTATATTGTCTTGTCCAGCTGAGGCAAGTAATCGGCCACAGTGAGAAAATTTCATGGTCCAAACAGCTCCCTATGAAAACAGAAGGTTCAAAATGACTTTATAAGCTTAAGAGACATTCCTTTAACCCAACCTTTAAAGTTCTCCCATATCATACAAATAAGGTAACGCTTACTTTCCTAACACAGCTCCTAGTCACAGGTGCAATAGTGCTACAGTACCACAAAGGGAAGCTTTCAGAAGAAAGATCTGTTAGGATCATCATTTCCCATAGTTTAACCCAACAGATTTAACAACCCAGACTATGCTCACACAGTAATAAAAATGAGGGGTATTTTTTGTTACATATATGCATGCTTCTGTGTGAGCATGTGTGAGAGGTCAAAGGGCAACTCCAGGTGCCATTTGTGAGAGTCTCCAAGTGGCTAGAAATGTTATCTAGAAAAGCACAAACCACAGCTTGGAAACTTTAGTCCCTTAACTGAACATGAAGGGGGAAGAGAAAGCACTTTTATGTCACAAACAAACACTACCAGGACTGAAAAGAATAAGGCCTAGCCTACCTTAGCTGTGGTGCCTATAGCATGAGACACTTCCAAGTACCTAAATACTTTGGCCCTATTCTGCTTTTCTCTCTACAGGACATGACTACACTCTATACAAACTGAAAACATCAGAGAAGTATATTTTCAGAAAAGTATTAAGCGATAGAAGTCTTTAGTATGAAGGGCCAAATTCTATTCCAACAAATAAGATGATAACACAGACCTAGGTGTATTAAAAAGACTACCTGCGCCTGGCGTTGGTGGCGCATGCCTTTAATCCCAGCACTCGGGAGGCAGAGGCAGAGGCAGAGGCAGAGGCAGAGGCAGAGGCAGAGGCAGAGGCAGAGGCAGAGGCAGAGGCAGAGGCAGAGGCAGAGGCAGAGGCAGAGGCAGAGGCAGAGGCAGAGGGACTACCTGCTTATAGATTCTCAAGGAAGAAAGATTTAGTTAGAAGCAACAGTTAACTTAAGTAGCATTCATTTCTATAAAAGTCAAATACAGCAAAAAAAAAATCATTTGGATCCCAATATAATGGGCTTTTTACTTAAGTAGGTAATAAAGGTGGTCTCAATATAGTATAAGAAAATTCAGGCCGGGCGTTGGTGGCACATGCCTTTAATCTCAGCACTCGGGAGGCAGTGGCAAGCCACAGAGAAACCATGTCTCGAAAAACCAAAAAAAAAAAAAAAAAAAAGAAAGAAAGAAAATTCAGTAAGTTCTGAAATGAAAACATTGTACAAATTAAAACATTGATGCATAGTTTATTAGCACAAAAATTTAAATTTCAATGTGGCCACTATCTGCAGCTCATAGTCGCTTTGTAGTTACGGTGACACCTAGGCTTTATTTGATTCCTAATCAAGGGCACAGCACAGTTTACTTAAGTTTGAGTTTCACTACTGTCTTTCTTATGTTCCGGGATTTATTTGCAGAAACTATCTACAACACAATCTGAGTATTTTCGTCTCACATTGGTAGGCTTGATTTTCTTTTCTTTGCAGTGTTAGGGATCAGAGCAGAGCCTCACATATATGAAGGAAAACACTCTACCAAGCCACATCCCCAGTCTGGTACTTTTGAAACCTGAAACAATATAAACCTCTACCTATATCTTGGCTGAAATATTTGTTTAAATTATGGTTGGGGACATTTAAAATATTTTTACAAGTGATAGACTGTTTTTTACTTTAAGTGCTTTAAGGTTGGTTTCACTGCATAGTTTTCTCAGTAATACAGCCCAGAGTTCATTTATTCCAAACCTCACTTTTATTTTGAGATTGGGTTGCCCTATGCAGCACAGGCTGGCCTCAATCTCATCATTCTCCTGCCTCATCCTTCAGGGTTCTTGGATTATAGGCACAAGAGACTACACTCAGCCTAAAGTGTTACTCCTTAAACAATAATTCAGAGACAAACACTACATTACCTATTCATTTAAACATATTAATATAAATTTACTGTTCTTAAGTTTGATTAGCAAAAGTACATATATTGGTAAAGATAAATTTAAATAGAAGCCTAAAAAATACCCTACCAGTCACGAAAAATCAAATGGTTGCTTACCATATGTTCACCACTAAGATCTTGCACCACTTTGATCTGATCAAAATCATAAGGTCCTTTGAAGCCATGTGCTGCCTTGAATTTAACTGGTCTTGTATATGGCATTCCTTCATCATCGCTTGATGAAGGATCATCTTGATCAGTATGAAACACTGTAGACAAAACAATAAAATTTATTAATTAATCCTTAATATATGCCTAGTTACATTAATATTTTCAAATAAATTGATCATCAAGTATACTTTGAGTAAACAGAGAAGCAAAATTTGTCTATTACTATACAACATTGGTTGAGAAAATGGAATCTAATGCTAGATTGGTTAAATTTAAGTCCAGCTGTGATTTATAATCTGCACGACCATAGAGAAGTTACTCAATCTTTCTAGACCTCTCAGCTTTCTCATCTATAAAAGGAGGATAATGTTGATACTCACTTCATTATGAGATTAAATTAATTAAAATTTAGGTTAATTGTTAGAAGACTATCTGGTATTGTATGAGTACTAAATGCACTTATTAATAAAAACAAATGAGTACAGTAATTACAAAGGCACCTTTAACTACAGTCTCTGAAAATTAAGAAAATCTATTTTTAAGTTATGTATTGTGCATACATGTGCATGCCATGAGGTAGGTGTGGAGAGAGGGAGGGAGGGAGGGAGGGAGGGAGGGAGAGAGAGAGAGAGAGAGAGAGAGAGAGAGAGAGAGAGAGATTGTGTGTGTGTGTGTGTGTGTGTGTGTGTATGTGTGTATACACGTGCATGTATGAGGGTGGATGAATGCACTCGCCTTGGCACAAAAGTAGAGACAGATCAGAGGACATTTTTTAGGGAGTGGTTCTAGCCTTACACCTTCTTTGGAGCAGGGTCTCCCTTGTTCATTTCTGCTGCTGTGCTACATGCTGCAGACTAACTGGCCTGTGAACTTGAGGGTAATTCTCCTCTATCTCCTCTATAATCATAAAAATGTTAACATTACAGATGCACACTATAGCATCTAGCAGTTACCTGCGTTCCAAGGAACCCCATCCAGCTTGCATGGCAAGTACTTTTACCCAATGAAACAATTTTCTGGTCCCAAGTTTACCCAATTAAAAAAACAGTTTTAAAAATCTATTTATTTTTATGGGTATGAATATTTTGCCTCCATGATTGTCTGTGTACTATGTGTGCGCCTGATGCTCATGGAAGCCAGAAGAGGGTGTCAGATCCCCTGAAACTAGAGTTACAGACAACTCCAGGCTGCCATGAGAGTACTGGGAAATTATACATGGATTCTCTGGAAGAGCCAGCTAGTGTTCTTAACCACTAAGCCATTTCTCTAGTCCCTTAAAAATATTTTTAAAAGCCAATGACACAAAACCAATTTATACCTAATCACTGTACAGTAAATCCTTCAAGGCTGTTATAATCACAAAACACTGAACCAATTCATACTTAAAAGTACACATTTATCTTTCTTCATATTCATAAAACTAAGTGAGACACTCGTGATTTAATAAAATCACGAGTTATAAAAGTTTATTATATTAATTGATATAGAGTGCTTCTTTTAAGTGACTAGCTAAATTTAGAAAATACACATTAGCCAAGGTTGGTGGTACATGCCTTTAATCCCAGCACTGGGAAGCAGAGGCAGGGGGGGGTTCGAGGCCAGTCTGGTCTCCAGAGCGAGTGCCAGGATAGGCTCCAAAGCTACACAGAGAAACCCTGTCTCGGAAAAAAAAGGAAATTCACATTAATGGACTACTCAGGTAAAATGCCCTCATTTTACTGACCTTCATCTCTTACACTTTTAACTTTATTTATAGCACGTTCACCATATTCCTCAGCAAGATGCTTTGCTCTCTTTACTGATTTTCCAAGGAATTTCTTTAGTTGAGTCCTAAAGAAAAAGATATAAAATTGTATTGACATAATCGTGCAAGGTGAACTATCCACAGACAAACTTAAGAGGTATCTTAAAACATTAATAGTAGGTATTCAAGTTCTCAGATTCCTTGCTTTTTCTAAAAATTATTTTGTGTACATTAGTATTTTGCCTGCAGATATGTCTGTATGAATTACAGATACTTGTGAGCTGCCATGTGGGTGCTGGGAATTGAACATGGATCCTCTTAACCACTGATTCTTTGTTTTATTGAATAAACATATTCAAGTCAATATCCTTCAAAGACAATATCTATGAATATAATTTCTCACAATTAACAGGTATTATATAATCTAGAGCCATACCTTTCAAGTGAGAATAGTAAGTGACTGGCAATGGAGGACTGGAGGGGGTCATGGTTAAGCAGATTTATGGCCCCATCACTAGACAATCTGATCTGGAGAGTTTGTGGTGAAGACATAAATAATTAAAAAAACTGCATTAGAGACTTGTCTCTAAGAACAAATTGGTGAAGCCATAAATAATTAAAAAAACTGCATTAGAGACTTGTCTCTAAGAACAAATTTTATCAACAAAAAGGAAGGGTTTAAGAAGTCATTTATCTACAAAATAGAATTACTGGGAAGTCTAGGAAGACCTATTGAGTTTTCTTTTTCATCTGGGTATTCCCAGTAATAAAATTAGGCTGAGATTTCCCAGGAGACACACCCAAACACAAAGTTTCACAAGGATCAAAGCTTCTTTAAACATGATTTGATTATTCTCTTTTCAATTAAAAAGGGTTTATAAATGTCTATCAACAGCAGAATGGATAAATAAGTCTTAATAAGTGTTGGTAATAAAACAAACCCCTGTTCTTTGAATTGCCAAGCTCATATTCACCTAATGGCCTTTCCACATGTCGTTACTTCTGACTCAAACACTCCAGCACTGATTACTATTTACCCTTTAGGTCTCAGATCAAATAATCTTCTCTCAAAAATGCTTTCCTCAAGCCAAAACATGTTTTCTTGTTATAGACTTCCACAGCACCATGTACTTTTCTTTTACAGCAATCATTATAAATACAGCTACATTTTTGTGCATGATTACATATTCGGTATCTGCCCCCTCTTTTAAACAGAAGGTCTGTGAAGGTATGAGTATAATTGTCTTAACTACTGTATCCACAGTAACTAATTCCTATGTGTGGTTCATAGAAAGACTGAAATGTATTTATCTTTGGTGCTAACATGAAGAGATGTCAATGACATCTATAATAATAAAAAGCAAGCTAACAATCTACAGACAAAATTTAGTCCCTCTTTTGTAAGAAAGAAAAAATTCTAGGGCTATGGGTATAGCTCTAGGGTAGGGTGCTTGCTTAGCATGTGCTGGTCCCTAGTTTTAACTCACCAGCATTGTGAAAAAATTATAGAGAATCTTGCTAATAATCTGTGACATTATTAGAAACTTTCATTTTCAATTTTATACATTTCTCTTATTATGTTCAGTCATCAGAAAACAGAGATGATAGATTATTTTTATAATGCTGGGAATTGAGCCCAGGGCTATGTATATGCTAGGTGAGCACTTTACCATTGAGCTACATCCCCAACCCTCTAAAAACCAGTTTCTAAAACCAAAATAAGGTGTTTACTCTAAAGTTATACTTTACGGATAACTATAGGTTCACTACAATGATGCTTAGTTTTAATTGCCAATTTGATACAATCTACAATCACCTGAGAAGGGAGGCTCAATAAGGAATTGTCTAGATTGGGCTGGCCTGTGAACATGTCTATGAGGGATTCTCTTGATTAATGGTAAGACTGTGGGTGATGCCATTCCCTGGGTAGGGGTCATGGACTGTTTAAGAGTGGAGCACGTGAGCTAAGCACTAAGTGCAGTATTTAATTCATTGCTCTCTGCTCTTCACTGCGGATACATTATGACTAGCTGCTTCAAGTTCCTGCTGCCTTAACAATCCTGTGAGCCAAATACACCCTTTGTTTCTTAAGTGGCTCTTATCATGGTATTTTATCACACCAACAGGAAGTGAAACTAAGATGACTACCTTTTTTTGGGTTTTGAGAGAGGGTTTCTCTGTGTAGCTTTGGAGCCTGTCCTAGACCTTATTCTGTTGACCAGGCTGGCCTCCAACTCACAGAGATCCACCTGCCTCTGCCTTCCAAGTGCTGGAATTAAAGGTGTGCACCGCCACCTCCTGGCTTCAAGCCCTTCTGCCTTTTTTGGTTTTTTTTTGGGGGGGGTTGTTTTGTTTTTTAGAGATAGGGTTTCTCTGTGTAACAGTCCTGGAACTAACTCTGTAGACTAGGCTGGCCTCGAACTTACAGAGATCCTAGCCGAGAAGACATTTAAATCATTATAGATATGATCTTCTAAAATATAGACTTTTTGTTTTGTTTTTGTTTTTTCAAGACAGGGCTCATCTATGTAGCCTTGGCAGTCCTGAAACTAGCTCTATAGACGAGGCTGGACTTGAGCTCACAGAGATTCTGCCTACCAAGTGCTAGGATTAAAGGTGTGTGCCACTACGCCCAGCTATACACTTACATGACTTCAAAATGGCACTAAATATTCAATAGATTTCTTTTCACTGATGAATAGGGTCAGTTACCATTCATATTCTCAGGGTACTTTGAACAGTAATCATGTAGGCTCAATTATTAATTGCTTCCTCAGATTTTAAAACAACTTATTATGATCTAGGAAGGTTAGAACCATGGGCTAATTTTTTCTGGCTATTGGCTGCCTTATTGGTCTACCCCATCATTCAGTGCAAATATTTCTATGTTCTATGTGTATCATGGCAAGAGAAAGGGCTGGAAAGAGCTACCTTACACACAAACTATTGTGCTATGTATGGGTCCTTTTATCATTTTCTGATTACAGTCTTGCAATCAGAATATCACCTAACAGGCTTACATGCTAACTTCTATGCCATGGTTTTAGCTTCTCTGTTGCTCAGGCACTAGATGACTAGGTTTAAGAAATGATGTATGAATTAAGAATGGGACTGAATAAACCTAAATATTTTTTCTCCTAGAAAAATGAGCTTTAACAGGGCTTAGTGATGTATACCTATAATCACAACACTCAGGATAAAGAAGCAGGAAGTTGTGAGTTCACACCAGCTTGAGCTGGTGTAGAGAGCCATATAGTGAGAACTTGCTAAGAAAACCAAATTGGAACATAAATGAGCTTTAGGACATACGCTGTCTGACAACTCGACTGTATGCTTGTTTCCCGAACAATTCCTAATTCTGTGGATCCTGACAGTTGTCACTGTTAGACACTCAAGTATCATATATCTGGTGTTACAATATAGCTGCATTTTTGGCACATCTTTTCTAAATAGTCTTACTTCCCTTATTATACACAAGGGAAAAAAATTAGACTTGAGTGGATCATTCGCTTTGGACTTTACATTGCAATATTGCCAATTTAGTGACTCATGCACAATCAGACACAATCCACATGACCACCAATACACTGTGTATTTGTTGGGTTAACAGAAGAATCACATGATCATAAACCTTTCATATCACATTGTTTAGTTGTTTAAAATGAGTTTGCTTTTGACTCACCATCCTTGAGGACCTATAGGCAGCTACTGGCTACTAGAGAGAAAACACTCTTCAGTGCAGTCACTGAGAAGTTGCCCATACTCCTGTAAGTAACCCTTATTAAACTCACTGGCTAATTTAAAACGAAAGCCAAAAACAGCCATGAGGTGGTGGTACACACTTTTAATCCCAGCACTCAGAGGAGTGAGAGGTAGGATGATCTCTGTGAGTTCGGGGCCAACCTGGTCTACAGAGTAAGTTCCAGAACAGCCAGGGCTAGATAAAGAAACTCTGTCATGAAAAAAATAACAACAAAAAGACATAAAAGTAGAAGGGAAACTAGTTAGAAAGAGAAAGATAAGTAGGAATGGGGGGTACAAGAAAAGGTAAAAAAAGGGTGAATATGATGAAATACATTATATATATGAAAATATAATGAACAACATGTAAAATGTATGGTGGTAAGATGTTTTGCATTTAAAATTAGAAAACAGCATTAGGATAATATGCTAAAGAGAAAAAATAACTAATGTGGCTATAGACTTGAATCTCACATACTTTATGTAGACATATAAATAGGGTTTGGAAAGATGAAGAAAAGGGGGAAGATATCTAAGGCCAATGATGCTCTTCTCTGAATTCTAGCACCTATGATAGAAAACAATGCAAGGATGACACAATATATACTGGTCATTTATTTTATGTCAGAAGCTTTAAAGGTGACATATACAAATGGAAGAAACTCATAATCAACCAATAGAGGGGAGGGGATAATGTGGGGTAGACATTTAGCACAATTGTTAACATTTAACATCTGGAGGGAGACCCACATATTCCATTTCAAAACAACTCTCTTAAGCTGAAGGAAATTATGAGAAAGAAGTTACTGAAATTAAGAGGTAGCAGTTATGTCCAAGCAATATGGCAAGGACTGATAAAGGTAGAAATTTTCTGGTAGATCAATGTGTGGTGATGGCAATTAATAGGGGCAACAGAACAAACTGGGATGGTGGTAATATAAGGTAACAGTACCATGTTAGAAGCCTTGGAATGAGTTTAACGAGGACTTTAGCAGATAAATCTCTTTAAAAGACATGCTTTATTGTCATGTAAAAGGTGGCCAAGAATATTTTTGTATTACATTTTTTATTAAAAAATAACCTGGCAATTTTCTTACTTTTCTAATAAACACTTAAAAAGAAGAAAAGACATGTAGAGTAACTCACGTTTTCTGTTTTAACCTTCCACCATCAGTATCTGTTTGTTGTGACTGTAACTTTTCTTCATCATCAGACTGTGTGGCATCATTGCTACAAGAAGGGGAAGTCATTTTAAAAGGAACCACTTCTCTTCTCAAAAATATCTTTTATGTTTATTATATAGCAACTAATCAGAATAAGAAAATGATCTTGATAAGTTTATATAACTTCAAATTAATGACTAACCAGAGAATTACTAAATGGCTTCCAATATTAAAGACTGGAATCTTAAAACAAGATGCAATGTGCAAAGTTTAAATGTATGGAATTTAATAGCTTATTAAATCCTACTATAACAAGGCTGTGTATATTAATAATAAAGTAACCTGTAGATAGCTCTTTCTTGGCCCATCAGGTATAACATAATAAATTCAATAAAAGTTCTTGCTTTTCTAGAACTTATTCCTTAAGGCCCTCATTAAATCTCACAACAAAAATCAATTGCTTTGCTCTAAAGCAATTTTCTCACTACAATACATAGTACAAAGACTTAGAAGCAAAGTTTTAGAAGACTAAGTGCTCCTCACACATGGCTTTTTAGCCTTACTGTTCTGATTCTGTCTCTACCTTAAATCATTTTAAATGACAAGAAACTAAATAGTATGAGATTTAAGATTTAGAATATTCTCCACAAGTAACTACAAAATATGACTATAACAGAGATCAAAGGTAAAGAATACATACTTGAGCCAAATTTACTTTTAGATTAAAATAGAGTGAGTTTAACTACATAGGGACAGTTGTAGTTCAGAAAGCTCAATAATCATTACCACACTGAAATGCTGCAAATGTTAAATAACATTAAGTCATACCTTACATACTCCTTTGTCCTTCTCATGATGTGTAGAGTGAGAGGATTAATACCTGTTGGTAACTTCTCTTCAGCAAGACTTAGAGGTATTTCTTCTCCAGTATCCAGGTTCTTAATCATTACACTGGCTAAAATTTCCTGGAGGTAAACATTAACTTCAAGATGACTTGCAACTTAATTATCTTAAAAATTTTTAATTATGTGCATACATGTTCTCTCTCTCTTTCTCTCTCTCTCTCTCTCCTCCCCCCCCCTCTCTCTCTCTCTCTCTCTCTCTCTCTGTGTGTGTGTGTGTGTGGGGGGGTGTGTGTGTGTGTGGGGGGGTGTGACAGACACATAGAGGCCAGAGGTGTTGGATCTCTGGGAGCTGAAGTCACAAGTAGTTGTGAGTTGTGATGCTGGGACTCAAACTCAGGTCCTCTGGAAGAGCAATAGTATTCTTACTGCTACACCATCTCTCCAGTCCTGAATTATCTTTTTTGAGTCTACAAAATCCTTAAAATTTTAAGTTACGATTTTCTAGATATCACTACTGGCACAGTAATCTTCACATTTACTCTGAGATATAATTCTCATACCATAAAATATTATCCCTAAAACATGCAATTCAATGGTTAATAATATATTTACAGTTCTTTATTATTAAATTATAATATTTGATTACTCAAAAAGGAAATTGCTTGTATATTAGCTGTCAATCCCAGTTAATGTTTCCTCTTAGTCTCTGGTAATTGTTAAATAGTATGAGATTTAAGATCACTATCTCTCTGTTTCTACTGATTTGCCTATTCAGGACATTTCATAAATTCAATCAAAAATATATGTATAATACACATATACAAACACACACACTGTATCTGGATTCTTTCATTAGCATGCTATTCTCTCTCTCTCTCTCTCTCTCTCTCTCTCTCTCTCTCTCTCTCTCTCTCTTTTTTGTTTTTTCGAGACAGGGTCTCTCTGTCTTTCTTTG